ATATGTTCATCTGACTGAGTTGCCTGATTTGATCCCTCACGCCATAAATCGTTCGAGAGCTTTAGAACATAATATAAAACTTTCGCCATAAGCACCATTTTCAAAGTTAGCATCTACGTACGACGGCTTCATGAGGACATTACATGACTCTTATAGTTAGAAAAATCTTAACGTCATATCAACACCCAATTTTTCCAGATCTCATGCCCACGCAGCATATGGAAAGGAACATTCACTTCTCCTTCAGTGAATCGCGCAGCTCCATTCGTTTACCAACCTGAGAGAGATCACCTGCGAAGAATTCCGTTAATCATCTGAAGATAAGCCTAACATTCAATCAGTTAATTACACAGGTCGGTAACTCAAGTACGAAATTCTCTCAATGTGTTGTAATGCTAGAAGTGTGTAACTCAGAAAGGTGACTTTATAGGCTGAGGGATACTGGGCTGCATTCAGGGAGGAGAATCACTTGCTGTCCATCGTTCTGACGGAAACAAGGGTAGAAAGATAGAAAACAGGAGACTGTGTCGTGGCTGCTACTAGAAAATTTCAGCCATTCTCGTCGTGAAGAACGTACTCGTGCCTGGTGGCATCCAAAGGAAGATCAGCGTTTTTCCTTAAGCTATGTATGGGAAAGGTGAGAAGCGATTCCAACTATGAAAAGCACAAAATAATCAGATACAAAAGGTCGGAAATTTTATCATGTTACATTTTCATTTCGCAGAGAATGTTTAGACGAAACTCTGGTGTGGCTCAATTCAAAACCGGAAACGTACAACGCTACATCGGATTCTCAGCGGGTAACGACACAGCTTAGAACGGAGCAGGCATCACAGTACCAGCGAATCAGCAATGGACATATAAATAAACACTGATTGTCAGTCGACAACTTTTAAACTTCAACCTCCTTATTGCAAACAGTGGAAAAACAATATCCTGGAGCTGACGAACGAACGATAAGATAAAGAAGATGATATCATATGAAAATAAGACGAACGATGAAATTTAAGCATCTCGAAGAATGTGGACCGAAAACCACGTTTCGTATTCTAAACATGCAGCTAACCATGAACAGCGTTTGCGCTCTACCACTTGCCATTCTCGAGCCTTCGTGGAATTGTCCAAAGCTGCAAGCACAGAATATCGTTTATTTTTACGCTGCTCACATATCTAAATTATGAACAACGATTCGAAGCTGCAGTAAAATCATCTATAATTTGACCATCATTTGATGCTCAACATTGCGTGACACAAAAAGAAACGATCTCCAACGTGGTTCGCATATTCGAACGTGATCAACGTTCCCAAAAACAATTTTTCATAAATGCACCAATGCACCTGCGTTAGATGCTGACCTTTTTTTGTTTCTTCTACTATGCGAAGAGCTGGTACGCTCTGCGCTTCGATATAAACGAAATCAACAGTTTCCTCACAGTTCCATCCCTCCTCACATTACACTGTGTTATTTTTGTTGTAAAAGCAGAATTTGATTTCGATTATTTGGTCGAGCATATTTTCCGTCTCTGTTTTAAGTCGCTAGCTGCGACGCAGCAGCATCGCTAATTCACAACTGTGGTACCGCGTTTACCGCTGCTGTTCTGTCAAGATATGACATTCGCTTCACAGTATCATCTTTACTGAAAACGCTGTATTTTTCGCCTTCCACAGTAAATACCTATTAAAAAAATAATGTTTACAGTTGCCAGGCAGACTATCGACGGACCAGAGCATTGGTGAGTGCAAAATCTATTGTCTACAGTTATTACCAACTTCTCTAAATTATGTAGTAACGACAGAGCAGTAATGTATACTTCATCAGTGCAAATCGAAGTAAATAAAAGGTGAAAAGTTGCACTGCACCGTTGTAAAATCGTGCACTGTTTCGTGTCTGGTTATGCAGCACTTTGCCATTATTCTACACTCTTTCTAGCAGTTATTCTACAATGTCCACGAAACTGAACATAAATAATAAAACGTTGAAGCTTCAAAGAATATCATTTGAGTGGAGTTTATCAAGCCAATAGTGGCGATGCATCATTAGCAAAAATTATATTTGTGTATGTCTGATCAAAACTAATCTACATATCTCATATATATATATATATGAGATGCATCTGGTACTGCAGATATTCAAATACCAAGAAATCGTGGCTTGCCTAAGAGACCATCCCCTAAGCAAGTCGGAGCAAGGTAGCGGTGCAATACGCCGTAAAACGCGATCTTGCAAGAGTTACGTGTTGTTTAACGTACTCCGACGTACGAACACGTTCCGTGTGCAGTGACGTAGTTTCGACTATATCGCATTGCACTTGAAACACTGATATGAGTCACAGTATTCGGGCGTGTTTACCTTATTTAGGTAGTGTGCTGGCGTCAAGAAAATCAAAGATATCGAACTTTATTGACAATTAACATTCCAGCGTTGTCAGTGAATGGAGCGTAAGAATTTAAAGCTTTCACCTCGCAAGGTCGTTTAAACTGTAAAATGTTTCGATTGCACGTAGCTGGAGAAAAACGGAGCTCGAGGTTTGGCAGAATCATGAGTCTTGGATGTACGTCATGACAGCAATCATGAGGAAAACAGTCTTGTCAAAACGGGTTAAAATGCAGGCTTTTCAATAAATTTCATCAGATGCAATTATTGTCTAGTTGGCCGAAATGAAGCGATACACTCAATCCACTTGTGTTCGCGGAAATGACCACAAAAATGGCCAGCTTTAACCCGTCGTAGGATAAATTTATATTTAATGAAAATAAAATGTCAGAAGAGATTCTATATACCTTTCATTGCTCCACATTAAAAGAATGTTTGTAATCGTTGGACTGTCGGTCTTCCACGAGCTTTCACGATGGGGCCGTTTCTAGAGCGATTGTTTTCAAGTTAATGGTAACCATGGCATCAGCAGAAGTGCCGTTCCATCTAAGGCAAAGCTGTTAGTAGCATATGGCAAGTGTTGTGAGCGGTCTCCTGTATCCTTCTCATAGAAGGGTACTCATTTATCAACATCAGAAGGAGGCCTGTCTCCGGACCGAGTTTCTAACCCGAGACTTTACGGTTCTGAGTCCCGCGCTTTATTAACTGAGCAGCTACGGCCTTGATATTGTAAACGCCATTCTCGCTGTTTTCCGAAACATATGTGTCCGCTTAGTGCATACATTACCACACGTAAGATTAATAGACTTCAGACGTTATTCAGGAACTAATGCAGAGAGCGACCATAAATCATAGATCCTGCTAGTAAGTGAAATCGGCCTTCGATTAGACAAAACTGAGAGGAATATCACAATCGCATGTTTGTTTTGACTATTACGCTCAAAAGTGCAACAAATATGATTGGAGCAAAAATGGAACATCCTTAAATACCCCAAAATTAACGGGCCCAATATGTTCTTGCGGATCATGCACCGTGTTATCAAAAACACATGCAGAGCAAACCGCGATTAGCTTACAAAGCTACCACAGAGCAAACAGATCGACGTTCTTCCAACGCAAGAAACCCGTCGAAGGTCAGATGATATGTTTTAATTTCCATGAGCTATCAGGCAAAAGCACGAAGTTGCGACCCACCTAAAATAGGAAAATAAAAATTTGTTCAAGCCTTGCTGTAAACCTCGCTGTACTTAGGTGCAATCGAAAAGGTTAGAAATGACCTCAGACCTAACTTGTATACCATTTATTGCTGTCGGCAAAGTTTTCGCCGAAAAATAAACAACCTTCGCCACAACTGAGTGCTTTCCAGTACTCAACTCTGCACCAACGTCATCTGACGTCTTCGATCAAACTCGAACACATTTCCATACACTTTCATGGTTATTTGATTCAGCCAGCGATATACCAGCCATAACTGCTTTTGACGGCTTCTTACTATCGCTGAACTACTCCTGCAGGCATCGTTCAAGCCCTGTGTCGCATATATGGAAAATTACTGAAAACAAACGAAGTAAATAACAGATCGACATGGGCGGGGGCGCACTTTTGCACAACATGTCCTTCAAACACACATTCGCATTTACTGCAGTCCAAAGCAAAATTCATAAAGTGTTTATTAAACAACTGTAAAGAAGATTAACTGCGCATATCTATTTGTAAAAATTCTGGTT